GAATACATTGGACGAGCAGTATGGAGGAATATTGAAACGTTTTTTGTGGACTTTTATGGACCTTCCTGCCTCGGGCGCTGGGCACCTCCATTATTTGAATGTCAGCAGACAGCAAGAAGCCTCCCAGATCTCCAGATATCAAAAAAGTACTCTAGAGTGTTGTTCAGCATGGGGGTGAGTAGAAAATGAAGGCTAATCATGTTTTGGGTGTACTATTCCTTTAAGCTGAACAAAAAAAAAAAAAAAACGTGGTTTTAAAATATACCCTATGTAAAAACGTAGTAGGCACCTTTGAATGTGTATCCAACCTGGCTGCACAATTTATTCACCAGGTTTCTTCTTTAAAAAATAACGACCTTTAGCCAGTAGCTTTAAGAGAAGCTCTACCTGCTCTGCTTTCTGAGAGCGACCAGTTTCCAACGTCATCTGTTCCTGGTAGTAGCTATCTACTATCTGCTGCTGCTAAAGTTGTGAAGTCCAAACTTAATACAGATTATTTAGATGTTTCCGTTTAACATGGTGTAAAACCGAGATGCACTTTCCACCAAATAAAGTGTAAAGGTCCTCCAGAGAGTACAAAGCACAAAGGAGAGCAGCCACAGCTCTACGTACAGTGGTACACAGCTACTACTGCTGTTAGCTTTAGACGGTAAAAGATGCATTTACGGGCTCTTCTAAAGCTACAGAGGAGTTTTATAAACAGCCACAGATTAAACTATTGGTTTTCTCGAACAATAGTCGAGGATGACAAAATGTAAGGCTATCCTTTATCATTTTGCTGCTATAATTTGTACTTTTTATGAGGTAAATAATAAGGATGGCTAGGTTAGCATCTCTCATAGCCTTTTTTCAGACTTGGGTATGTTTGTTTTGGAAACTCATTTGTTCCGTCCCATTAGTATTTATGGTCATTTGGACATTTTAAAGACAGCTAAATAATAATCAATGTTTGACTTTAGTGTAAGATTAAAATAAAAATAGTTGTAGAGTTTAAACGTGAAACCAAAATATGTTTTTGACAGCAACCAATATATGCTGGTATCTGTTACCAGAACCAAATTATCACGAGGTGTAAAACTATTATTCATAATAAATAATATCCCTAAAATTGCACATAAGCCATTCATTACATAGGGTCAACCTTCGCTAAAGTAGGTAATTAACCTACAGTGTAATAACGCTGAACTATAACAACGGCTTTATAACCGGGGTGTCCCGTCATGGAAAACGTGCGCACCTAGGAGAGGCAGCCTAAAATACGTCTCGTTATAAAGCCGATGTGTCGCTGGTCTTTGAACAATATCCTCGACTAAGACTTACCATGAGCGGGCTATATGCAGTCAGTCTTTACCACGAAAACACTGGCCTTGATTCTGTACAATCACTCGCGTCAAAGTAGCTTAAACTGGGATATTTATCCAAGTTAGTCTTCGTAGTTGTTTTCCTTACTTCCTGATTGAGACGCTGCCATTTTGAATAGAGAAGAAACGTTTCCGCCGCTGTCGTCACGCACAGAGCCGTTTGTTGATTAAGAGCAGAAGACAGACAGGCAAGAAATATTTAACAGAAGCAATGTTTTTAACATACCTGCTTAATTACTGATCATTATAAAGCTTGGAAAATAACTCAAACATAATGCAACACAGTAAACTATAGTAAACTGCAATTCCATTTAAATAAATTCATTTAAACTGATGTTTTAAACAAATGTATAAAGATGCAAAAAAAAAAAGCTAGATCTTTTTTTTAAATGATTATATATTTTGAGAAACTCGTAGTTAGACACGCGTATGCTTGTGTTTTGCGTATTTTCACATTTCAGCATTTGACCAGGACTTTACAAGTGAGTTTAAATGAAACACAAACAGCATAATAATAATAATAATAAAGACAATATTAATGATAATTATAATAATGCGTTTGATTTAAATGTACCTTTCAGGGAACTGGAAAGAACTCGACAAACAGTAATATCAAACATTAGGATAAAAACTAGAGCTTACCATATAAATACAAGCGATAACCCTATAAGATCTTAATAAACCTACAAATAGATGATCAGATCAAATATAATTAAAACATAAATTGAATAGCATTAAATATAAAGGGCAGCAAATACAAGTATAATGAATAACAATATTGAATAGGGGATATTACAAAATGCGTGTTAAACAGAAAAATAAACAGCTGTCTTCTTTTAATGGGATTATTTTGTGAGGGATGTCCAGATTGTTTATTGATTATAAATTTTTTTTTAAAAGTGGTTATAAACCTAACATACACCTATATAGTACTCTACTACTGGGTATCAGCTGTCTTAGGAATAAACTACTGAGTACAATAAATCATATCAGGGTTTTTTTTCATATGCTTTGTATGACTGTAACAATAAAAACATCCTTCAACAACAGCATCATTGAACTGGTATATAAAGTATTTTGGGAGATAAGCCATTTTTCAATGGAGATATAATAAAATATTAAAAGCTGACCTAACATCTTCACCATCGATAGCAAATAAATCCATTGGTGTCTAATTATAAAGTGACTTTTCATAAACACAATAAGAGGAAGATGCTAAGAGGAATAAATCAAAATGTTGTTGTAATGAATACAGCTTGTATTAAAGGTCATCAGTAACAGCAGCGATTTAGAGAGTAAACGACTGATATTAAGAATTTAAATGGTTTATTTTAGGAATTCAGCTAATATTACCACCATAGTTTCTAGTTACTATCAACACTTGTTCACTAGGATAAACATTGGTTTATACAAGTGGCTTTGTATTAACAATAATAAAAGCTCAGAAACACACAAAGATACACATATAAGTAAAGTGATTGGGTACAGGAAAAACATTAAAACAGAATATTAGTATACATCTAAATCTAGGCTGTTGTATGCTGGGCCCCTGGCAGCGCAGTGCAATAATCATATCTATATAAATATAAATATCCATCTTTATAAATACCCATGTAAATACCCTGTGCAATAACCCTGTATTTACAATCCTACTATTTAAAAAAAAAGGCTGTCGTGTGTAAACACACGGTATATACTGTATATATCCCATGCACCTTTTTCTTCCTTTGGATCCTTCTACTTCTCCTTTGACTATTTGAGCTGAAATAAATAGTACATTTCTCCACTGTGAGATCAATAAAAATCAATCAGTTAAATCCGGGGTGTCTACATGTGGCCCTGCTAATGATTTTATGAGGCTCTTTACTAGACTCCAACAATAGTAGAAGTCTGGTTTGCCAACCCGGGTAGCTAACGTAGATCATGTTTATAGAATGTTAAGGAGCACTTTAACGGGCTATAACACATTTCAAAAAGAGATAAAAACCAAATAAAAAAGCATTTTAATATAGAATTTAACACCAAGTACTGGGTTTATTGTTTTAACTTGATTGAATAGTAAAAAGGTTCAAACATCCAGTGACTTTAACTGAAAAGCAGAGTAAGTCCTTTTCATTGCCTAGCATACAGAAACAGAGTAAGAAAACTGAACATTGCTTAATTTGTTTTTTTTTTAAGCAAGCAAACCTTTTGATCTATAATGATTACAATGATTTATCGATTAACTTTTCAACAGAAATCAGACTAATTTGTTTTTTGTGTATAGATATTACATGCATATTTTACTTTTTAGCCAGTAAAAATAAACAAACAAGCAGATAATGATAAAAAAATAAAAAAATATTAATTTGTGGAGTTTGTCTTTTAAGAAAAAAAAAAATCAATATAAATCAGGGGATTGTAATATTTTGGCTTTTGTTTTATGTATAAAGGAAGTGAGTAATCTATGCATTGTTTTCATGGTTCATCCTTTTTTTTTTCATTTCATTTTTTTTTCTTATTGTTTTATTGCCTTCTGGTTATTTTAAACAGTCCATGTAATCCATCAACTTCCCTGCAGAAACACTTCTTTTTTTTTTTTCAAACGAGGAGTAAAGGCTGGTATCTCTTCCCTTAAGCTCATTGTCTGATTTTAGAATTCATTACTCCATTTTGCAATATTAAACAACAGAGCTGGACGATCTCCAACGGTTTCCCGCAAACAAACACTGCCACCTCTTTCCTGGCATTACAATCTCCCCTTTTCCCAACAAAGGAGTATGATTGAAAGCAGAGGGTAGTGTTTCCACGCCGCTGGTAAATGACACTCGCATGTTTTGTAACGTCTGATGTTTGATCATGTGTCACATGTCAAATGTCCACAAGGCGATGTTTGATTAAACATGACGAAGAATAAATGCAAATAAATGGTCTGGTAAATAGCCTGCATATTAAATACGATATTAAATAAACATTTATACACCTTTATAAAACACACCTGTAATCAAAAGTTTGGACTTCTTTAAAACCATAAGTATTTCTTTGCGTCGGAACTGAGCGGATGTGTCTTTTTAAAATATTTAGCGCACCCTGCTGGAGAATCAGTGCTAGTACTCTGCTTTTTGTCTGCTCGATTTTTAGATGGTTCTTACACAAAGGTTTAAAACAGAGAAACTTGAAACCAAACAGAACTTTCCTGAGTTTGCTTTCTTGTTATTAAGGATTTTTCTAAGTCATTGTGAGTGAGTTAGTAGCTCTAAATATCCACAGAGCAACACATACCCCAAAGACAGTTAAACTGTCTCAGTTTACACAAAAAAAAGAAAAGTCTGCAGAACTAAAAAATTTAAGGCAAAAAAACTTCAGCCAATTTTTAAGTTAAGGACTTTAACTTAACTTTAACTTGATCCTTTAAGTTTTGCTTTTACGTTTACCAAACTTTGAATTCTATATTATTGTAACTTCAAAGCAAATTTTTCCCAACATAGGTGATGATTCCGTAAAAGTTAAAAAAAATCCACTGGACTTGGTTTCCAAGATTTGAAGACGTTTCGCTACTGTACTGGTATATTCTTTTTTACTCACACCACCCACTGGAACATAAACTCTCAGTCATCAGAACCTTTCAACAAAGATGCTCTCCAAAGATGCTCTCCAAAACTGTGGATATCCAAACTGAGCAGTTATCAAATCAGAAAGGAAATAGAAAAAAAAACACGTAGCAGAAGATAGTGGTGAGAAAATTAAAAGCAAAAACATCACAATCCCTTATGTTGCTGGAGTGTCTGAAAAACTCATGAGGATTTTCTCCAAACACAAAATCCCAGTAGATTTCAAGCCAAAGAAAACCCTTAAACAGAGGCTAGTGCATCCTAAAGATAAAACCCCCAGACCGAATATAAGCGGAGTGGTATATGCTGTTCAGTGCAGCGAGGAATGCTCTGATCTTTATATTGGAGAAACCAAACAACCTCTCCACAGATGCATGGCCCAACACAGAAGAGCGGCCTCCTCTGGACAAGACTCCGCAGTACACCTACACCTTGTGGACAAAGGACATTCTTTTAAGGACCAGAATGTTCACATTATGGATAAAGAAAATAGGTGGTTTGAGAGGGGCGTGAAGGAAGCCATCTATGTTAAGAGAGAAAAAACAACTTTAAACAGAGGTGGTGGACTCAGATTCCAGCTTCCAAAAACTTACAATCCAATTATAGAGATGATACCTTCCAGATATCACCACACCCCCCACCCCATCACAGAGGAACAAAGTACCTCCCCGCTCCAGCCGGTGAACAATACCTCCTTAATGACCGACCCTTAACAATCATAGACAGGTTTCAGGTATTACAGGAGACAATCCCCCACCTTTAACGACAATACCGCCCTTTAACAGCGACCTTCAGAATCATAGACAGGTTTCAGGTATTACAGGCTAACAATGGAACCAAACAACCCACTCATCGGTTTGCATTTGCATGTTTCCAAGCAATACAAGGCCTTGTCTATATATATAGACTCAAACTCATTGCAGATCCAGACATTTGAATTGAGAAAGCTTCCTGGAGAGGTAGCAAAACGTCTTCAAAATCTTGGAAACCAAGTCCAGTGGATTTTTTTTAACTTTTATGGAATGACTATGACCTAGATGGCTGAGAATCTTCATCGGCATAGGTGATGATTTAACTACAAACTTTTAAAGTTCTTACTTAAAACAAAACATACTTTTTATTCAGAGCTTATTATGCCTTAGTAGGGAAATTTATCCTTTGTATTTTTACCAAACCGTTTTTTTCCCCTTTTTGTTTTTGAAAAAAAAAGGGTTTTGAACCTCAGCTTTTACAGTTGCTCCAAGTAGCAAATGTTGTGCTTCCTAAGCACCAGGCGATTCCATGGTGTCTCAAATTCCTGATTAATGGTAACTTAACTATAGCTCAGTTTAAAATTAAATAAGGCTTCATTGTCATTGTACATAAAATGCAATGATATTTCGATTGGCAGTACATTGTTAGCACCAATTTATACTGTTGAAATTGAACAAGTTATGACCATTGAGACTTGAACTCCAAAGCCAGCTCCAGAAACAGTCCTTCTTGCATTTCACAACAAAAGCATACAAATTAGCTAATCTTTTGCATTT